GGAACAAATTGATTATTTTACCCAGGAATAAATGTTTGCAAGGCGGGGAAAGTGTTCCTGCAGCCCCTCCATAACGGTAATAATGATTAGAAATGATTTCCAGGGCAGAGAGCGGTTTTTAAGGCGAGACACGGCAGGCAAAAACATCGTTTTTCAAGCACTGGTCAATTTTGAGATTTTGTGCTATTTTGATTCTATAACATGTTTTCTTTCAGGCTTTTGGAAGGAAAACGTACAAAATACACATTTAAGTGTTTATTTGACTATAGTTTGTCTATTTGCGTCAGTAGATTTCTCCTAAATTCACCAAAAGTTAGCTTTCTAACGTAACATAAAGTACCGCGACCGCTGTGTGCACCATGTCAACAGAGATATCGTTAGAAAGCTGTGTCTCTCCTGCACAATCTAATCGGATCCAAATATGGTCATTTCCTTTGTATCAGCAACCAATCGTGAAAGCACAAAGGGGTCTTAAACCAAGAAACGAAATCTCATTGGCTGGTGTCAATTTCAGACAACGTGATTCGTTCAGATGCGTCACGTGGTGTGCTAAAACACTTCCTTGTTAGCTTTCCGCTAGAAATGTAAATCTCAAAATGGCAAAAGAACGGCGAAAAAAAAGTTTACAGAGAAGATGACAACAATTATCCCTTGCACGAAGCAAGATTATACAAAAAACAAATGACCCCGAACATGAAATACCTTCACGGAGTGCGTCGAGGCGCAAGCTGTCATCCAAAGAACAGGAGGGTTTAGCTAGCGCCTCACTGCAATCTTTAAAGGTCGTTTTCTCAAAATGAGTTTTTTCTCCTACTCTGAGTTCAAAATTTCAACTTCAGTAGCACGTAGACACACCAAACCTTCCAGTTATATTCCTATCAATATTATGAAGGCTTTTACAGAAGGGTTTGTTCATATATCATTCATAGCCTGAATTATACAACATTGTATACCTAAAAACATGGCAAAAATTGATATTTTAGGGCTGTTGACAGTATTTTCTGATTTATGGAGTGATAAAAAGAGATATACAATATCCCTTCTGTAAAAGCCTTAGATACTAATATGATTACAAAATGAAACAAGAATTTTGAACGGTCTTAATCCAAAATTCAGATTTCGATTCCTGAAATGTGTTAAAATATGCACATATTTGATGACATAATGGCTAATTTGCATATTTAAACATGCTATTTCAGAAAACTTGTTATAAAAAAGACAATTGCCTTATTGTAAGTAATTAACTGGAGAAATGTCTAGCTGATACCTTTAAGTTAAAAAAATTACCCTATTCACCTGGGGTGTCTCGCCTTAAGAAGAAAAAAGATGCGTGCCAGATGTCAGGTTTTTCTTACTGGACGTACAATACCAACCTTTAGTACTTGACAGTTTTTGACACATAGTTGTTTTACCGATTTGCCAAAACAGTACTGAGGATATAAAGCCTTGAGGCCAGTAATGAGCATATTTCAGCAATGAGGACTAAGAATTCAAAATTCAAAACCTACTAAAATATTTAATATCTCAGGGTGTACAGTCTGACAAAGAGAAACTCAATTCAATATGTAAAGCTAACAAACGTTAGCAGAACTTGAGTTATGCATTAGTAGACACAATGCTGGTGGACATTTAATCAAATTGATGAAGTTACAGCAGTGTGTGTATTTTCAGTGCATGAAGTTATTTTCCATGCTCCCATTATTACCTCCTCACTAGCCTTCTCAGTAGGAGCTCTCAGAGCTAATTAGCTAATTTAGTCCTCTGTGTTTGGAGACTGCAACTTTATTGTTCTGCCAATGTTGTTGCAATCCCAAATGGGAGAAACCGAGGTGATAGATGACTTCATACCCAGTTCAACTAAGAACTTTGGGATGGATCGGGTTTTAAAGTAGGTTCAAGAAGGGTAATAATTTGCCTCATTAGTCAAGGGATAAGCAAGAGTACCTTCTGCATCCAAATGCGTCCCTTGCGGATAACGTGCTTTAGCCTCTCTACGCAGATGGTGTGCAGAGGAAGGTAGAAGGCCAGCTCTGTTTGAGGCAGGATAATGGACAAGGCACATGTGTTCTTATCCCCCTTCAGCTCGCCATCGAAGATAAGAGACACAATGATGACGCCCTTCTCCGCCAGGACAAAGAACTTCACGTCCACGGCGCCACACTCAGCGCTTCGCAGGATCTCCCCGTTTAGTGTATGATTGGCCAAAAATGTGACCTCTCCATCGCTGAGGAACATCAGCTGCTCTCCCTTTGGTGTCCAGATGTGGCGCACCCGTGGACCCAGGATGTTGTCCCAGTAGGCGAAGGTGGCCGCCAGCAGCGGGCATTCTCCCTCTACTGCTACCTCAGACTTAGCCACAGCTGGTGACTGGGGGGGACAGCCGGAGGACATGAGAGAGGGTGGGAAAGGTCCTCCCAAAGTCAGAATGGATGATAATAAACCTATGTTATAAACAGAGAAAAGTCAAACAAAAAAAACTGAATTTAATTTAAAAACACAGCCTCTGATGTGACAAAATAAATTGAAGAATGATAAATATTAAGCTAACATAATATATTGGGTTTGATCAGACTATGTCTTTAAGTGGAAATGAAAGTGATTTGTTTGGAATGTGTTGTAAGTCAGCTGATACTTTTCAGAAACAGAGAACTACTTCTCTTTTTCTGTTTGACAAATATATGCAAGAAAACACACACTAATAATAGAGCCAATACATGTCATTCTTTATGGACGTCTCTGTAATTCCACATTTATATTAAAAACATTCTAGCACTAGCAGCTGGAAACGTAACGGATACGCTGATATCATACACACAGCATTACATAACACAATAAATAAGGATTATAACATCTATTTGATTGATAAAAAAATATGCCGAATTTAGCAGGCACTTCTGATAATAATGTATGTGTTACTAATTTGTCAGGTAGCTATGTGTATCCACAGGAAGCAATACTGTTTAATATTGACCGTTTTTACAACAGAGTCTGGTGTCATTTAACGTAACACTCTAAAGTACGTATTTTAATCTTACGTAACAACGTATGGGGTAGTTTAAAGCTAAATGGCAGTATCGGTAAATACAAAAGTAACCTCACTTTAGTGTTTTACCGGTTAATATTCTGTAGCAGGCACATTTTAACTCAATTTTGTGCAAGGCTAGCTAACTAGTCTTAGCCAAACTAGCACTGATAGAATAAAGGAATGACATCGCCATGACTTACTTTTTGGTGGCAATTCGTCACAAAGAAGCTTCCTATTAGAGGAATAATTCTATATGTTGCTGAAATGGCATCATAATGTTTTTTCTGTATCCATAGTATGTAAATTGTAAATGATGAAGCTGCAGTGTTGTTGTGTTGAACACACTTCCTAGTACGTCAGTCCTACGTCACTCATTGTTGGAGATGCACAGCGTCCTCTAGTGCACGAGGCATGGGAGTGGAGTGAGTGGACTGTTAATGAATGATGTCATATTTATTTCAGTCATCCATCTACAGATAAATAACTTATTTTAATTCATTTAGATGAAGCCCGCTCATACGAATGTATTCATCCATGCGCAAAACCCTTTTTAATTGCCTTTTTATTTTATCCTTTGAGGACTTGTCTTGAGCCACCCTTATAATACCTAGTGCTTTTTTTCTGCTCTCTCCAATCAAACCACTGACAATTGCAATCACAACATCTCCCATGAGGACTTGGGTGAAGAACTCCTCCACTCAACACAGGAGTGTGCTATTTTCCTTGACGATATATTTGATATAATTTATACATTTCAGGAATATATACAAAACAGTCCTTCTTTACCTAAAAGAAAATTAGGAATTCCCTTCTGTGACACATCTTCAGAGAAGAGCATAGTAAGGCAAAGGCTGAAATGGCTCCTCAGAGTGAATACTCCAGCAAACAGCAAGCCTGCATTATGTGACACTAATAAACAGAGAGTAACCCTCCAAATAACTTTTGGTGGTGTCCAGTCATTTCAAATGCTTGTGGCATCCTCACAAAGACGACATGATTCTACAAAGACACTGCCCCTGGCTATGAACGAGTCCGGCACTGAGCCCTCTTTAGAGAGCAAAGACTTTTTCACATATTAACTGCTGAGGGGAGTAAATAAACCCAGGGAAAAATAATCAAAGAGAACAGAAGAATGAAACAGAAAGAAAACACATCACCATGGCACATAACATTAACCAATGAAAGATGTTACATTATAGTTAGTGAGCCTAAGCTTTCACTATTTATGCTAACCTTACAAGGTGCTGCTTGTGAACATCAATGTATTGCCAGCCTAGCTTTTGACCTTCACCATCTTTGTTTTTTGGAACCTGGAGTGACACGAGACAAAGAAATCTTGCAAAGCCTAACATTCAACAACAAATTGTACGTGTAATTTTTTATGAAGATATAATACTTTGTCAAAGGGTTAAAGCCCTAAAAAGGAAAACAAGGGCAACACCCAAACCAGTAATCACTGTGGTAGCAACCTGTCGTTTGAAAGCCACACCCCAAAGCACGCCAAGCTTTATTATCTATGTTGGGGAAATATTTTCCTAAGCCCATTACTTTGACCCAGTTTATCAGTTTGTACTGACCTCAATGAGCTCAGGCACCTGCAGCCTTGTTGGCGTCAGCTGATAGAGGTGTTATAGTGCATTGCCTGTTTTATCTTGTTATGCAGCATGTTAATTATTCTCTCAGAACCAGCTAAATACATGGGTCTGGGGTAGAGATCTTCAGAATTGGTTTGGCATCTACTGTGTCAACTCTTGGCACACGACATGTCTTGTGAATTCTCCGGCCGAAGCTCCAAATAAACCATCAGTGTTTGCCATCAAAGTTCCTGCTCTCCACGTGTCTCTGAGTCCTGTCTCCATTGCTTCAGAAGTTTCCATCACAATCTATTTTCATATCATAAACCTATTAGAACATTTGTACCTAGGTGATAATTGAAGTAAAAGGTAGGGACATTTTCTTTTGATTTCTATACAATCTGACTTTTTTTTTGCAATCAGGAGAGTTGTGCTTTACAGGCTTTTTTGAATGAATGAATAGGTTTTAGCCACTTCCGCATTGGCTTTGCTTTTAAAAACTGGGTTGGCGCTTGTTGTACTCTTCATATCTGACAGACAGATTCAAATCTTCTCATCCAATCTTTAACCAGAAAGAGAACAAACAAAAAATTCCTTTAAATAGTTTGTGCCCATTCATGGGCATCACTTTATTAGAAAAAGTGGGGGGACAACACTTTTTTCAGATTTAAAAAAACACTTTTAGCACCCCTTGCAAACAATACATACATACTATACATAAATATGCTTAAAAAGGTTTTTTGACAACTATTGCAGTAACTATGCTAAACTGATGCAAAGCCAGAGCAGCAATTGCTTTACTATTTTCTATTCAGTTATAACTGATATGAAACGTGTCACAGGCCAAATTGCACAACTTTAGTTACCAGAAATACACCCAAAAAGTGTGAACAGTCCTTAAGATTGTGCAAATAAACCTCAAAGTCGGTTTATTCTCAAAGTGTACAATTCTTTGTGTACTCTATTTTCAGAACATTTTCAACATTTTATCCTGATGGAAAGTGGTGGGGATAAAATTGGGCATTTCCAAAAGTGGTTGGGACATGTCTCCTGTCCCCAGTGGCCCGCCTATGTTACCATTTATGGTTGGTAGTTATTGTACAACTTTTACTGGGTCCTATCAAAGTGTTTGCTTCATTGACTAGCCTATTACTGATTTTCTATGAGGCAGAAAACAATGCTTTTCAATACAAGACACTCTTTCTTTCTACTGAGCTCAGCAAAAGTGAACTTGTGTGCACGGTCAGCAAATCAGCTGAAAAAAAAGTTGGCTCCTGCTGAACTTTTCAAGGTCACTTATCGTTAACAGCCACTCCAAATGGTGTACCTGCTGGCTGGCCGCCCTACTGATGTGATTTCACTCTGTGAAGAGCATTGCAGCCTTACTACTGCGACAGAGGTGAGAGGCTTTCCAAGAACTCTCTTAAAAATCAGCTATGGCGTATTTGTGGATTCATGTTTGATATCATTGTGACATGTTATTTGGTTCCCTTTTTTGGCGGGAATTTACTCTAATACAAGTCCCTGGCCCCTATTATGCTTTTTGGGGCTTTCCCCTACCCTTAGTGTGTTATATAGGTTTTTGTGCATGTTAATGGTCTACAAAGGCTAAAATCTCATCCACATACCCCCCTGCCTGAAATGCCTCCGTTGGACTCCTTTCTTTACTTCAGTAACATCCACCCACAGTAAGAACAGACTCCACCATAACCAACTTACTGGCAGAGTTAGCACACTGTAATTGTGTTACTTTGTTCCTTGCAGGTTTTCTCACAACAGGAACAAGGCTTGGGAAAACATTTATGTCGCCCACAATATTTTAGCCACTAAGTTTCACTTTTGGAAGTCTGTTACTTCCCACCTGCTTCAGTTGGTGCCAAGCACAGTCTTATATTCACACTTTTTACGATTGTTATCATACCAAAAAACACATATCTGCGCAAAAGAACTCTGCCTTCACAATATCTTGAATGTACTGAAAGACGGTTTTCTCTTCAATTGTAGTTAATCTCATTAAGCCTACTTTCAGGGATGGTTTGAAAGGATATATCATTGTTGAAAATACCATTTTCTACTTTCTTGCCCAGAGTAAAATGAGAGGTTTGCGGTCCTGGTTTGACTCCTCTGTCCGTTTTTGTTAGAAATGCCTCTATCTTCACTCTGTTCTCCTTGACAGCAGAAAGGCTTTATTTTAAATTTGCATGACTCCAGTTTCATCCTAGCTTTTCCTTTAACTTTGAGAGCAGACTTTTATGCATTAGTAGGCCTTCTGTTTCCTTCACCTTCCTTTGTATCTCTACATGTGCCCCAAATGACATTCAATGTTTTACATTCACAATGAGTGTGACAAAAATCTCTTGTTATCGATCTGACCTTAGGTATCGCTTGCTCCCAATCACAAATGTTTTGTCATGATCATAATTTGCTAAACGAAACCCTCTATTTCAGTTTCATAAGCGGTAGCCTTGAGTTATGAATCCAAAAATGTCCATTGCTCTGAATGGCACAGTCAATGAATCTAAGAAATACACTAAACATAGCATTGACATACATTTCTGTGGTTGACCTCATACATAAATGGAGAGTGTGTGGGTTATTAATTTACTCAAAGATGAAGGAACCATTGCATAACTCATCATACACATGCCAGTTGCACAACTTTATGAAGGGCAACTAAGGTCTGTTGGTTGCTTAGTTCAGACTAATCTCATCAACTGATGTTGGCTGGCCTTTGAACTTTGTGGAGATATTCATGGTCTCCAGATAAATAATCTTAAAACCCACTGATTTTCCAGTTTCCTTTAGTGCACCAAATTCCTATTTGTAGTTCTAAGTTCAATTTGTCGACAGCTTTTTGCCATGAAATTGGCTATGCTACAGAATTCCTTGGGATCATTTGTAATTGTAATAATTATTCCCTTAGCCTTTTCTCTATTACCCCCATCAGGTCAAAACACACGTTAATCTAATACTTTGTTTTTTTTATCACATGTCTACAAAACGAATCACATTCCTACCAGCCCTCAGCCGTAGCATACTGTCTGTTGCTTAGTAGATAATGTTAGTATGTTAACATGCTAAACTAAAGGTTAATTTTTTTACATGCTAAGGTTAGCATTGTTAACATAATGAAGTTAGCATACACTCTAAAAACAAATGCCTTGGCTCAACAAAGAAAATCAACGCAACAGTTTGCATCGATGTTTATTGAGTGAAGACAACTTCTAATTAAATTGTCTTAAAGCAACAAAGTTATTTGAGTTAGGGGAGAAGGCTTTTCCTCTACAATCAGTTGTTTTTAATTATCACTTACTTAATAATTGGTAGCATAAACACAAGTTTTGAAGTTGATTACTCAAAAGATTAAGTTGTTCCGACTAGTTTTGGTTTTACCACATGATTTAAAAGGAATTTTAAGTTGTATGTACTTAATTACCATCATTGTGAACACATTTTTAAGTTGACAACCATTTATAAATTAAGTTGCTCCAAATATATTGTATTCAATAGTTTTTTTTTCTTAGCTTTTTCATGTTTTTGCCTTTAAAGAAAGAAATTAATTGATTCCACAACAAAAATATTAGGCAATTCACTTTTTTATTTTGAACTGCAGTTGTTTATTTCAACACATGATGTTTCAATCAGGAGAGAATTCATTTAGTTTGAACATTTATTGACACATGCCATATGATAAGGTGCATGAACACCTGAAATCACAGCTGACTGCAGGAGAGAGGAGAACCATTTTATAGTTTGGCTGCAGCACGTTGATTGGCTGCTGGAGAATGAGG